TCTTAATGTCAACACAATAGGTGTACAATACCTTCTATGTTTTCAAAATGTTCAACAATATAAAAACAATAAAATTTATTGTAATTATGTGAACTTTTTTCGAACAAAAATTGATTTTTTTATGGTTGAGATACTTAGTAACTTTAATTTGGTTTTTGTCATTGTAAAGTAAATCTTATCACAGTGCTTATTGTATGTGTCCATCACTTGGTCCAAGGGTCAAAATTTGGCATAATTCGTACGATGGCAGTTTGTAGCAAATATATTTCTATTTCGTAAATGCTTAGATGATGTATACTCATTTTAGGATGGCAAAAGTTCTATTGAATCAATGCGATGTGATACGATATCGTTTACGAATGAAATCATAGCTAATTCACGACGCTCTTCTAATGTTTGGATATTTATGAGCATACATCGAGCTGTGTAAGATGGCAAAGGAAATACCACAGACAAACAGACATAACACATTGAATATGTCTCGCTGTAAAACATCGTCGCTAAAACATTACCGCCATCTGTTGAGTACACTGTGGTGGGTAGTACGCTGAACAGATGGCGGTAGTCTGTAAACGTCAAACGCAAGGGAATTGACTATGCGCGCCACAGGTGGCGGTACTACCAACTACGATACTTTTAAATTGACCGTTAAATGCTTGTTCGATGAATAACTTGCGAGAGTTATGTCTGTTTGTCTGTGGAAATACTATCCAACTTTAATTGCGGAGTACATACAATAGAGACTGCGTTTGAATGGACTCTATTCTTTCTTCGTGTATGATTGAAAAAAATTGCAATGTACAATGTTTTGACGTAGGACTACGTCTTTCTTTACTACACTGGGGCTCTAATTAAGAAATTGAAAATGAGTAACGAAAATAAGGGGTGTTTTCAAACATATATTTCTCCAAAGCATTAATGTGAAATATGTCATGCAATATGCCATTCGATGGGGTAGTTATCTAGCAATTTTGTGGCTTATAGTACAAATAGTGAAAATAGTTAAACAACTAAGAAATTTAATTAAAATTTGTAGCATCAACATTTCCCATACATTTGCTTAGACCACAAGGTGTCTTTTCTGACAGAGACATCACATAGATGGTACTAAACGAATCAAGCCAAAGTCGCATTTCCATTCGAAATTCGGACGTGTTCATATCGTTCATCACGAAGCAGCTCCACATAGACAAAATGCGGACCGGTGGAAAGGCTCCCCGCAAGCAGCTTGCTTGCTACCAAAAGCGCTCCAGCCAGAGAAGTATTGAAGAAGCCACACCGCAACTTTTCGTTTATCACATTTTTTCAATTAAACGAAGCGGAAATAGTTAAACAATTAAGAAATTTAACGAAAAAATAGGAATATTTCGTGAATCAATCAGAAGAGCGGGTGCAAGGCAAGAATCTATATTCTCTCGCACGGTCATCACTGTCCAGCCCATGCAAAAATCGAACTCGCACTGCGCATGCTCAAACGACGGTTTCCATTTCGGAAACTCGGAGCTCGGAGTTAAGTGAACCCTACATGACTGCTTTTATTGACAATAATCTTATTGTCAATACATTCTATATTGACGTCAATACATGGGTATGGACAACTTTCTATATTCTTATTATCAATATTATTGTCACTAATTCCCCTTCGCGTCAATATATTGATACGTGTGGGGTTCGCTTAACGCTGGAATGAGAGGAAACGAAGGCTGCCAAATCGCTTCTACCGTCATTTACAACCAGACAGTTGAGCTGGTCGGTGCTAGGAGCCGACACCAATACAGGGAAGGAATCCTACAACAAGAAGTCTTATAGGGTGTCCCAGAATGTCTAAGCACGATTAATATAAAAAAAAACGATAATGTAACTCTGTTTACAGCAAATTCGATCAGTCAGCCAAGGAGTGGATTTTTGATCTCACGCTTCTCATTAGCTTCAGCACGATGCCTTTATAACAATTTTGGATACTTTCTCTCAGTCTTTCGCAAACATTGTAACGGAATCCGCTGCCTTTACATATTTCCGCAAATATGCTTTGATCAGGGCCCAAAAAGTTACGATTGGCCTAGCTTAGGGACAGTTTGGCAGAGTTATATCCGGGTACGAATTGTACCTTGTTGGCTTTATACCAGGCTATCGTGCCCTTGGAGTAATGAACCGACGCAAAATCCGGCGAAAACAGTACTGAGGCGTCGTGTTTGCGGATGATGGGTAACAGAGGCTTGATTAAACACTCACGTACGTAAACATCGGGTGTCATTGTCTCCGTTGTCACAAACGGTTTGGAAAGCATACCACACTAACAAATGGCTTGCCAAACAATAGCCTTTTTACCGAATTTTTCGGTAAAAATCGACTTATCCGCGTCGTCAACACTTCGGCCATCACGAACGGTGTTGGAAGAGTTTTGTAATCAAATTTAACGTATGATTCATCGTCCATAATTACGCACACCGATTTTCCGCACAGCAATTGGTCGTATAACTTTCGAGCCCTCGGTTTGACGGATGCAGCTTGTTTTTTACTCCGCTTTGGCTTCTTCTGCTTCTCATACGGCTTTAGACCCATTCTTGCCTTGACCCGCTGGACGTTACTCTTCGAGGATCCCACTTTTTTTGCCACGTCTCGAACCGAAGCGCTTTTCTTGCGAGTGAAAGCTTGCACGATTTTCCGATCAAGATTTCGGTCAACAGGGTTCGGTTTACGTCCAGATTTTTGCTTGTCCTGGAAAGTTGCTTCATCACCATACTTCCAAATTCATTTAGCCATAAATGATTATTTTGAATATTATCGGTCGCAGAGCCTAAAACCTCGATATTATCATCAATTCTGCAAAAGGCAGTAATCTTCCATCGTCAAGAACATGTTATCATGTCAAAATTCAAATTCATGCAGGAAGTTGGTTTATCTTTCAAATTTGCCTTAATTTTCAGCTTATTTGAGTGTAGAAGAAATGATTTTTATCAGCACTGGCAGGTATAGATGATGAATTTGAAAATTGTTAGCTGTTTGTACCTACGGGTACGAATCTAGAATTTGTTCCACGCTGATCATTGTTAACAGCAGAGGAAAAAATTACACTTGTGGTTTTCACCACAATTTGAACATTTAAATTTCTTACGATCTTGTTCGCACTGACCAGGCGGATTTGAGATTACCAACAATCAATTCGAAACTAACGATTTCAAATAAAATCACTACTTGACTAGCCTATTGGTCCCAAGCAAATCGATTAACGTACCCCATTCTAGTATAAATTCCAGTACTACACTAAGTTTGTTTTGATTCGCTATGAAAGTTTGACAGATAAAATGAGGGGTTCGTTGAGTTTCATATGTTTCGAGGAGTGCATCGATTAGCTTGGGACCGAAGATAGTACAAGAGCTGAACCAAAAAGTTGAGTTCGTTTCTTCGGGACCTTCTTGTCTTAGAGTTACCTCTATGAGATTACGCTCATGAAAATTCGATTTACTCGATCACGTTTATGGGAACTAACTCATGAATTCGAAAGAACTAGTAGTTCCATAGAGGTAACTCTAAGACCAGAAGGTCCCGAAGAAACGTGCTCAACTTTTTGGCTCAGCTCTAGTACCACAAACGAAGTGACAGACGGAGTGGATCGAAAACTTTAGTGACTAACCTGCTTTTGCAATTTTTCAGTGTACCATATAGCAACACTACTAGTGGATTGAACCTTGACTAGCCTATTGGTCGCAAGCAAATCGATTAACGGACTCCATTCTAGTCGAAATTCTAGTACTGCACTATGTTTGTTTTGATTCGATAGAAAATTTGACAGATAAAATGAGGGGTTAGTGGATTTTCATATGTTTCGAGGGGTGAATCGATTATAGCTTGCGACCCAAGCCAAAAAGTTGAGCACGTTTCCTTGGGACCTACTAGTCTTAGAATTACCTCTATAGTTTTATCATTTCAGTTTTAGGGTATTTCGGCGTATTGAAAATCCATTTTGGTGTTTTCTATCCATTGTGGCAAAGATTAGGCCATTGTTAAACTCTTTTTCTTTCAAATTAAATGATTGATTATTGCTCATTTTGATGTTTCTAAAGTCAGCTTTGACGTGTTCTGTTTTATTTTTTATTCTTATAGACACATTCTACGTGACGTTATAACAGATTTATGACAGTTTTTGTATTGTAATTGAAAAAAATCAATAGCAACATCTAAATATTATTGCAGTGCGTTAAATTAACTATAATTAACTATTGCTCAAAAAATGCTGATTTGAGTGACTTAAATGGTTAGGTGAGTAGAGTAGAGCGCTAATTAGTCGTTATGGCTTATTTCCGTTCAATCGAGCTGAAAATATCAATGATATCAATGATTTCAACGTGCAAAAATCAACGAACGAATCTATAATCAAGAAGCAGTGTTCGATTTTTTATAATATCTCAACAATTTGTGACTCTTTATCAAATCCAACAGTATGTTTGCAAAGGAACATTTGTAAGTTATCTATATTAGAATCATTCCATTTTTTGTTCATATCCATTCTTAAAAGAGAGTAAATGCAGGTTGTGCTTTATTGCACGGAAATTAGATTAAAAAGTCTAATTCAAGACCAACCATTGAAATGGCCTTAACTCCATATTTTAAACAAACCTTGTAAGGCCATTTTCTCGCGAACCGAAACCTTGATTCGTAAACTTAAACCACAATCGGGTAGAGGAGAATTTCCCCTACCTGTACATTATGTTGGTTTACCTTTGCGGACTACGGTTCGCAAGAAAATGGCTTTACAAGGTTTGTTTACAAAATGGAGTTACGGCCATTTCTATTTGTTGGTCTAGAATTGTTGAGTAGTGTAGGTTGAGAAGTGCAAACCGTTGTAACATAACGCAACATTAGTTTTCTGAAATTGATCAAACATTTTACCTCATTAAAGTCCTTCATATAACCTCATCAGAGTAACTTTTCTTACTCTCAGTATATTAATATAACAGATTCCCACAGATCTACATTCTTAATTTCGTTCCAACTTATAGGTTGCGCTCAAAAGACAACAAGCCGTCGAAGATGCCATAGCTTTGCGACTAGCGTCAACAGAAATGGGAACACAACTTGAGACACTTCCACCAGGAAAAATCTACGGTATGACGGTTACAGAACCATGTGCTTCCCCGCAACTCGGATCACCGTCGTCCATGGACATTTCATCGTCAACCTCTCCTGCAGGCAGTGAAAAGGAAACCGATTTATCGGAAAGCAGTAAACCTGCAAGTGAGTTTTTTCAAGCCATGCTCAAAACCATCGGAACCCTGTGCAGTAGACTGATGCAAAATTTGACTTTTTCGCTCCACAGTGCTTAAATGATTTCAAATCGGGTCCTGATTAGCCTCCCAAAGTTACAACTCATTTGATAAGAAACTGACATGGCACAAACCATTTGAAGTTTACATGTAAATTACTATGGGAAATCTCAACTTTTTGTTCATTGCCTTCTAGTCTTTTTCCATATTGAGCTGCGAAACAGTTCGATAGACATTATTTATTTCTCAGCTACACGGATAGAAATCTCCTTTTGGCAAATTTCCATTGCTGATTATTCATAAAATGTATAAGTCAACTAATAAGCAGACGCCTTGCAAAAAGTTAATAAAGATCATGTGTCAAATGAAATGTATAAGCGGTCACACATTCCTTTTATGCATTCTAATAGGACCTATGTGGTTTGTCTTATGGAATGTATAAGGCTGATGCTTTGGCAAAAATGTATAAGTGAAACACATGAATTAAACAATTGATTTTCGTTTCGTGTACAACTTTGCCGAAGATCGTTTCTATGTAAAACGAGACAGGAAAAAGTTATTAATTATTTCAGAGATTGGTAAACTTATGACATGATCAAGCAGCTGCTCTGTAGACAAAACTGTATTTTGCAGTGCGACATAGTAGCCCTGATTTTTTGTGGCCTATTCAATGCTCCAGAAACACCATTGTTGCCTGCTGAGCAGTTGATTGAGCATGATCATAAGACATCAGCGTATTGAACCATTGATAGCTTTCGATCCTTGCATGGTCTTCAGCAAAGTTGTAGCTGGGAAAATTTCCTACAAGTACAGTTGTTTGCTTTTGAAGCAGACCGATATGGTGAATTATTAGATAGACATGAACAAAAATCTTGGTTTTAAATACCATAGTAATTCCCATACAAACTTCAAATGGTTTGTGCCATCTCAGTTTCTCACCAAATGGGTTCAAAATATGAGAGGTGAGTCAGGATCCGATTTGGAATCGTTTAAGTATTGTGGAGCGAAAATTTCAAATTTTGCATCACTCTACTGTGCAGCCATGTTACTTTTTTCGTAACTAACCGATTATTTCCTCTTCAGATGCTACCAATAATGTGGCAGTGTCACAAAATGCTCTGGACATGTTATCTCAACTATTTCCACATCGAAAGCGATCCGTGCTTGAGTTGATTCTCAAACGTTGTGATTCGGATTTACTCAAAGCCATCGAACAGTGCAGTAAAAGTCCACCAACCAGCGCATTTAAACCTCCAGTGTCCTCAGCCTCATCATTCATTGCTCACCATCAGGTTTATAACAGTGCATTGTAATATTCACTTCGATTACCATTAATTTAATTTGTTTTATGTCTATTTTTTAGATTCCAATAACACCACCCAGCCCACCAAGTTATGCTTCACTTATTGCTTACCCAAAATGGTTGCTTCCAATGTCGATTCCGTTACCAATGGGGCACATTGCTCCAAATTTGGCCCCAAGATGTACTCTACCCAATTGTGTTATGTGTGTGCATCATCCTGTGTAAATCTTTATGAAATTGTTGACATAATTTTAATTTCATCTGTGGAATACATTTTTTTTTCCAAGTTAAATACATTCTTATTTTGAAGAAATCGAATGCCCTTCCTTCCACCAGCAGGGGAAATGGCTCAAATGTTGGTCTGGATTTGAAGAGAGGTCCATCAATAAGCAGACACGACACGGGCAAAAGTATTGACAATGATATTGATGCAAATATTGACGATGAAAATATTGATGAACATATTGACGCAAAATCTAAAAAAATATTTTTGACTCCCCTCTCCTCCTACGAGGACAAGCGTTGATATTAGGGTGGATCTAGTTTGATCTTACGATGTGTATTGAGGTCCTCAATTTGTTGCAACGGTGCCAAATTTGAATGAATTTGGTTATGATCTGGATATGCGGGAGAATTTTAAATTTTGTATGCCAAACATTCAAATATTGCTCAAAATTCACCAAATCTCGGAAATAATTTAGGATTACTACTTGAGAACAACTTTGTCGAAGATTTCGACAAAGTTGATTAGAATTCTGAGAAAAAAGTTAATTAGAGTAGGTGTAAGTGTAGGTGTACCAGTTATACCACAAACGAAGTGACAGACGGAGCGGCTCGAAATTTGATTTGACGCACTTACATTTTCAATTTTCGAGTGTACCTCACGGCAACACTATCTACTCATATGTACTAGATTAAACTAGGGGGTACCGCCTGTTATCTCTTTTTCTCTAACGAAAATTGAAAGGGAGATCCTGTTGTCAAACAGCATGTCATTATATCGCTTCTTTTGTATAATGAAAGACCATAGGCCAAAATGATTAGGGATGAACACATCGGGATAACATTTGCTTACAAGTAAACGATGTTGAGCTGTCAATGACTCGCGCTTGTTGCAATTGTTGCTACAGATTTCTTCAGTCCGTGCTAGAAGCCTAAGTCACAGTCATTCGCGACCGAGAAGACAGACATCGTTGTTGGACGCCAAACAGAACCCGGCCATACTCGGTATGCTGGTATACATTCACTCCTCCGTAGCGGAACTGGAAGGATCCACCCAAGCTGCCGGATATCAGTTTTGTCTGCTCCAGCTTCTTCTTATTATTCTGCAGAACCAGACAGTGCGAGTACTGGTCGTGTTTGCCAAACCAACCGGTGGAATACTAATCTGAAAGCCGATTTCTTAGGCACGTTGCATTTGTCGCAGTAGATCGTCACTTGCTGCTGCACTTTCATGGAGCGGATTACAATCGCCGTGGCAGTAGTTTCGTCGTACAGATCGATCACTGGATCGATATCAACCCGATAGGTATGGCCGGCATGCTTCGCGTAGTGACGCTCGCTCATGTCACGGGGAATCCTTTCCGAACAGGCGGCGCATTGAAACTTCTGTACGAATCGATCGGGACATAGGATTTGATGTCACGCTTTTGGCTCTTGCTGCCTCGACTGCTCAGCCTCTACTTATTCATCATTCAAAACATTTTCCGGTACGGGTGCGGGTAGTGGATGTCCCTGTCGAATTGGTTGATTAGACGAGATCATCGTCATCGACAAGTACCAGTTATCAAACTTTCCAGCTATCATGCAGATGAAGTTTTCAACGGAGTAATCTCTTCCACCTATGCAGCACAAGCTCGGTTAACAAGCTGTGGCAAGTTTTTACGTCGATGCAAATGGGAAATTGGAATTCAATCTGAAATTGAAAACCAACCCTAATAAAATTGTTATGGTTATTTTGCTTAACGACGTGTTCGGGGTATCATCCAAACCATTTGTTGAATAGTTTTATTATTTGGGTTTTCGTTCATGTATGGTAGTTTTTTATTAGGGAAACAGTAAAAAAAAAGTAGTTGAATATTACAGCAGATAAGCTGCACATAACATATACACATTAATCCAGTCAGTAATGTTTTACTGGGTTTTTGAATTGCGGACTGTTCGAAAAAAGTTTAAAACTCTGCAGGAAATTCAAAAATATGAAACTTTTTCTGAACTTGTACAGATAAAGTTCTGTTAATCTCATTTCTTTTTTTTTCCTTTGATTTGTTTTTCGTCGATCTGGTTTTCCGTACTGAGCACCAATGCTACCGATGCCAGCACTGATAAAAATCCCCTTATACATTTTGGCAAATTTCCATTGCTGATTATTCATAAAATGTATAAGGCTACCACCAACCAATTTGTTCCGAACGGCCGGAAGACCAAGCTGAGGCATGGGATGCTCACTATGCCCCACTTGTTCACTATGCCCCTCTTACCCCTACCATAAAATCACAACGAAAATCATGGTATATGAGAAATGTACAATAAAAAAGGGGGCTTGTTAAGCTAAGCATCTTAAAAATAAAAAAAATGATTTTTGTCGAACAAATTTGATCTCATCAAATTAATTTTCATTGATAATTGTATCGTTAAAAACGAAATTTATTATTCCTCCTTTCCAATAATTTAATAATAAATTTTTAATGTGCCCAAAATTCAACCGTAAAATTCATTGTAATTTCGTTATTTTATTATAATTTTTTTTGCGTCCATCCTCGGTATGCATTCGTTACTCCGTAGCGGAACCGGAAGCTCTCGACGAGGGCGATCTAAAGGAGGAAAATTTACTCCAAAATCATGCCGAGATCCATCGAATCAAAGAGGCGATCGACGTGCTGGAGGTGAGAATGAAGGAGGATCGGATGAAACTGATTTTTTTTTTATTTATTACGGCTAGAGATGCTGTATGTCAAGCGTTTGAGCATGATTGCGGTACGATGCACTATTCTGGACTGGTCTACTATACGTGGCAAAACTAGTCATTATACTGAAGACGAGGAGGGAATCTTCGGATTCATGGAGGAGGACATCGGACATCAGAAATGAGGAAGCTCGTATGCGAGGACAAAAGTGTTACATCTGCAAGGGTTGATGCATATATTATGTCACGCTCTAGGGGGGGGGGGGGGGTCTAAGATTTTGTGACAAGCAATGCATTAGGTATAGGAAAAACGTCACGATAGGGGGGGGGGGGTGTAAATTTCTCTTCGATTTAGCGTGACAAAATTAATGCATGGGCCCCAAGGAACGGTATGCGAACGTTTTGTGTTGCACGAAGAAGTGCTTCCGTTCATTTCAGACGCTTTGTGGGGTGCAGAATGAGTGCCTGTCGCATTACGTGGATACGTTCCAGTCGTGGTGCGATAAGCACGTAGCGCTGGTGGGTAAGGTGAAATAATCTGGGACCGAAGCCTGTGGGATTTGCTACGATGAGATGGGACCGTACAGGAAGCTGGAATCGATTCGTGCTGTCAGAATGTCTGGTTCCATCGGAGCTGCATGGCACAGTTTGCCCAATCGGCGGGGTACTTTTTCAAGTGCCCTTTGTGCAACAACAAGGACGACTTTAGTCAGCAGATGCAGCAGCGTGGCATTTATATTCCACTGCCACGAGGAACTTCCGTCGAAAACTTCGAGGAACTTCCGTCGAAAACTTCGAGGAACTTCCGTCGAAAAATTGCTTCGAGCCAAACCGGTCGTATCAAATCGTTGACTTCTTCGGACAATGAAGACGAAGCATCCTCCGCCGGATCGTCGACCGTGTTCGATTTCAACTATCGTGTGAATTTAACCAAAAAAGCAGTGCCGAAAATCGATGGTAGAATTGCAGTCGATCAAAGAGTTCATCCGTTCCGACACGGACACGCTAACGGATGCCTCGGTGGGACAGGAGATCGTGCGTCCCAAGACGCCTGCCAGAAATCTTTTGAAAATCTGTTCAAATTGTAGCTTTTCGGGTCGAAAACCGTCCCACGAAAACGGTCCACCAGCGAGTCTGATCCGGAGTACGTTACAGCGAAGAAAATTAGGTTGATTTAATTTTAATGGTGACCTTCCTTATAGCGAATTTGTTTATTATCCAGGTTGGAACCAGTTCCAACCCGTGCGAACCCGAGCTTATTGCCAGTGCGAACCTCAACCCGAGCCAGGTTACAAAAACAAACGTTAACACTGACGTTTGAAAGGCAACAAGCAGACCCAATCTCGATACCCGATCCAGGTTGGAACTGAATCAAAAACAAATTCGCTATTAGACGGTGAATTTTCCAGTACTAGTCAGGTCTTTCCCACGGCGCAGTGGATTACTGCCAACGGTGCCACCTCAAGTGGGAATGCGATTCGAAACCGAGTTGACGTTGATGCTCAAAAGTGAGAAAATGTTCCGGATTTCACTACCCACACAGATTAGTGGGAAAACAAACCGTCCGTTCATCCATGTGTGCTAGATAGAGAAAGATGATGAAACGTCAAAAAGGTCTATGCACCTGAAACCGACGGAGAATCGCAAGTGCTGTGGTGAGGCAGAAGGAAACAAGTTAGCACTTTCATTATCACGACGTTCTTATGCATAATCTAGTGTGACGTAACGTTGGATCATACGTAAGAACACCGTGAGAACGAAAGAGTTGTCAACATTCTTTCTGCCGCACCTACAGTAACGCACACGGTTCCCGCACGGATTGTTCCTTACTTTCTCACTCTAATCAAAATTTCCTTCGATGAGTGAGAAAACAGCACCACGTCTATGCGAGCGAGAACGAGGGTTGCCAGATCATTGCACACAAAACCAACTTGAATTAATTCAAAGCAAAAATACTAGCGAACCTGGCGGTGAAGGGCGCAAGGTGGACTAAAATTCTATTACAGAGAACCACATTATTTTAATTAATTTCTTCGGAGAAAGTCGTCTGTCACTTCGTTTGTGGTTATACGTTCCTATTATGGTGTGTTTCAATTATGGCCTATGGAATTCCTATGTGCCATAATTGGAACACAGAATAATAGGAATGTATTGCAGTAACTGTTACATCAACTGTATTATATTAATTTAGATCTATTGCTCTGCGGATATCTACAGGGGTGTGGAACACTTGATCTAAAATGAAAGATTAGTAACTGTTTGCACAAAGATCAAATTGATGTTGTTTTGTATACACTGAAACAAAGATAATAGTTAGGAA